GCTGACCTCCTCCTCCCGTTGGAATAGGGAGCGGGAAGAGAGGAGCTGCATGTGCCAGGACAGTGGCCCTTTTGCCTCTGGTCCCTGGGCCGGGCTGTCTTCTCCTGGCTGCTCACCAGAGCCAGCTCTGCTGCGGTGCTTCACGCCAGGCGCCTGGGAAGGCAGCCTTCCAGAGACGGCCACAGGACTGGCTGTGGAACCGCAGAGGCTGGGGAGAGACTCCCTCCACCTCTGCCCTTTGAGATCTGGCCCCACTGGTTCACCAGGGGGAAGCCTTTGATCTCCACTAGGTGGCTAGGTTTGGACAAGAGCGACCCAGTGGCCCTTGGACAGGATGCCCAAACAGCTGTCCCGCGGCGGCTCTTGGAGGGGGCCTGGAGAGTTCACGGTCAGACTTCCACGCCCAGGCCTCAGTGATCCACCTTCAGGCCCTTCACTGGGACAGCGAAGCACGATTTTCCATGGCACATCTTTCTGCTGTGACTTAGACAAATGAGATCGTCCCCTGGGCTTCCTGGGTAGTTGTGACGCAGAGTTTACTCTGTGTGGGCATGGATACGTAGAGAAGATTCGAGGAGGTCTCTCATCCCTGACGGGCCCTGAGCAGCACCTGAGCCTGAGTGATGTGTTACGTGAAGGCCGTCAGGTCCAGCCAGTGTGTAGCCCACCTGCCTCAGTCTCTAGGCGAGGGCGGTCATGGCACACAAGTCTGTGCCGCGGTATGTGTGCCGACGTTTTGCTCTTCTCTCCTCTCTGCACACCTAAGCCTGCAGGTAACATGTGGTGGGTGCGGGAGGGAACCTTCTTCACTCCAGGCGGTGGCAGATCCTATCTGTGAGCTTGGACCAAGCCTCTCAGGTGGGTGTCAGGTCTTCTGGTGCTGGCAGAGGGACGTCACCAGCCAGCAAGCCCATCACCACACCAGATGTGTGGGGCACAAGGTCCTAGAAGTGTGTAGCCATCTGTCCGCTGAGGTGCCCATCTCAGTGGCCGTGTCACAGTGACCGCACAGGCCTGCAGCCCGTGGGTGTCCAGGTCCCCTGCCCAGCAACACAGTACTGCCCTGCAGAACTCCGGCAGCTACGAGAATCGGCTGAGGTTTGAATCTCCGTGCCCACTTGCCTGGTAGATAGCAGCAGCCTTCAGCAATGACATTAGCGGCTGGCTTTGGTGGCCTGTGTGACCCTGCACTTCCTGGGGAGAGACAAGGAATATTCTGAGAGCTGTGAACCAAGCAGAATAGTTCTTGGCATCCGTGACCAAAAGCTGCCCGTGCTGCTGAAAGCCAGCAAGTTTAGCGAGCTGCCCGGACACCTTCCGAGGGACCGAAAGGCATGATTTCAAAGACCTGTCCACATGCAGCTCCTTACGAACGCGTCCTCCTGGCATGCTCACGTCAGGGTCTGTCCTTCACTCAGCACTCACCGTGCACCTGTTACTGCTGGGCGCTGTGTCGGCATCACCGTTGAGCCTCTGCCATCCTGTGTGACAGGAGGTGAAGCGGAAGCTCTCTGTGATCAGCATGTTCCCTGCCGAGGCCTTGAGGATCTGTGTGCAAGGAAGTGAGGCTACTGGAAAAATCTGGTCTGCAGAATAACTTGGAAGCTCCTGAGAGTGGCCGTGGTTGGTGACCCAGAAACCCCCGTGCAGAGCGAGAGCTGCTGCCGAGAGCCCGCCTCACACGCTCGGTGACGCAGCCTGCACAGATGCAATCAGGAGGCTGCGTGGGCAAATCTGGGCGTGGAAAGCAATGCACTGTGCTTCCAGACACTCAAACTGGCCCACGGCCACCAGTGAAGTTCAGAGAGCACTGCCTCCTGACTAGGGCCCCACCAGGCCTGGCTCAAGCCTGCTGTGTAATGTGCATTTGGGGCAGCATTTGTCACTCGGTTCAGAACCACGGGCTCCACAGTGCACGCCAGGTGCGTGCTCCCCTGGGTTGCTCTTAATGAGGTGAAATTCTGTACAAAGCTGGTGCCTCCTTGCTAAGTGAGTGTGGGGAGGGTGCGGAGAGATTGATCTTACCTGGCTTCTGAGCATTCTTACTGTTATCATAAACTCTAGAATATGTTCTCAGGAAAACTCCGTTGATATTTTAACTTGGCCATGAAATTCTTCACGTTACATAATGGCTGCATAATAACCTCCATGAAGCAGAGCGAGGCTTCTGCTTCCACCCTGAGATGCCAGGAAAGCACCTACTTCCCAGCTCGGAGTGCGCACCTCAAACAGGTCCTAGGGTCCCTTCTTCTCACGTGATGGCCTTGGAGCTTGCCCTCGGCTCCCGTTCTCGGAGAAGCAGAATGTTAAATAGGCAAGACTTTGTTGGCTGGTTGAAACTGGACACGGTGGAAGGACTCACACCGAGGCAGTTGGCCCGTGTATCTGTCCCACCCCCAGAGCCAGCTCTCAGAGACATGTCAGCCCACCTGTGTCCCTACCCTGTGCCTCTGCGGGACCCAGGCACTGGGGCAGGGGAGGAGAAGGGGTTTGCCCCTGAGCCCGATTTGTCTCTGGTATTCTGACTTGGGGCAGAGCGGCGCAAAGAGGAATTTTGGCCAAATGAATGACGCTGGGCATTGAGCAAGAGGCATCACCTGCAAGGTGCCCCAGAGCTGCTTTGCTGTGTCTGAGTCCGAGGGCTCCGAGAGGGAGGTGGGAGGGGAGGTCTCAGGAGTGGCTGGGGGTGGGGGGAGCCAGGACTCAGACCTGCCTTTCTGCCACGAGCCTGTCCTGTGCAGGCCACGCCTGAACTCGATTGACTTGAGGGTAAAGTTGTCCTTTGCCTTGACCTGTGGCCCCCAGTACTCAGGTCGTTGGGAGCCAGGCACGCCGTCTGGTTTGGGGGCTGTAGGGAGCAGGTCTCATCATGGTGATGGGCATGGCGTGTAGCCTGTGGCATCAGGGTGCCCGGAACGTGGCCAGGGCAACGGTGGAAGTGAGTTCTCCACTCAGCGAGAAGGCCACCCCGCATCACCCTCCCCCTCTGGCTGCGGGATGGTTGACCACCTCCGACGTTCTTGGAAATAAACGGGGCACACCCCGGTGCTGCCCTCGTTCGAGTCCTCAGAGCTGGAACTCCCACCGGACACGACTTACTAACCTCGGAGCCACTCTGGGCCACATGGCCTTGGCAGAGCCTGGCGGAGAGAAAGCTCCACGCTCATCGCCCGCCTGTGCGAGCAGCCTGTGTACGCCGCACGGCTCTCCTCCCCGGGACTCGTGCGTTTCTGGCCTCCTCGGGGTTCTATCCGGACACATGCCCCTGCACACACGCATGTCATTACGCGCCTGTGGCCATGCACCCGAGGCGGATTTGTGTCCCCACCGGCCACGTCGCTGTCTCTCGTTTTGCTGTCCAGGGTGAGTCACTGCCAGCAACATCCAGCTCAGTGACCAGGCCCTTGTTTTGACTTTGAATGTGTCCTCGGGGGAACACAGTGAACTGATGGACAAGACCCTGTGGATTAGCTCTGGGATATGTGCGTCCTCAAGTCCGAATGGTTGAAATGGGGTGGAGTTGGAGATGCTGGAAACTTTCTTCATGTCAGGTCACCACTGATCTCCTGGTGGAGGGTGACTGGCTAGAAACTCGTTTTGCTCAGGGCTAGCGACTGCAAAGCGCTCTGTGACCAAAAGAGGGCTATTGAGAATCGATCCCTCTGTGGCTGGGCCACCTGACTGAGCCGGAGAAGCCAGATGCCAGGGGGCAGAATCTGCACCTGGTACCTTGCCTGGAGGGCCAGGGCTTGGCCTCACCTCCTCCTTGTAGTGCGGAGGCTGCCCCCCCAACCAGCAACCCTCTGGGGGACACTGGGCCTTGGGGGTCTGGTGCCCTCACCATGCATTTCCTGGCTCGCCACCAGCTCACTTTACCGGCACTGCCGTCTGTGCCCTGCCCAGACCATGGGCAGCAGGGATCCAGCAGGTTTGCCAGGGGATGGGGGAGGGAAGGCCAGGCCATGTGGACAGAGGCCGGCGGGCCTCGGGCACTGCCTCAGAGGCTTGGGCCCCGAGCAGGGCGGGCTCATTGTGACAGGGCAGTGCACCACCCAGCCCACACCGTCCTGCCTAGCCGAAGGGCTGAAGGCCACAGCGTCCTGGCCCCGAGTCACTAATTCTCAAATTTGCTGCTGCACCAAGTTCAAAACATGGGCAACAGAGTGCAGCCTTCTGTGGTGAACTTGGCATTTCTCCCTCTAAAGCCCAGTGGACACTCAGGGCAGCCTGTGGGGAGAGGCTCCGCCCTCCCAGCCGCACACAGGAGGGGCCCCTCTGAGGACGGGCGTGGCTTCTGTGGGTCCCAGGTGCGGGGAGGAGGGCAGGCTGTCTGCCACACCGACGCCTCCGCAGCCCCGGGTGTCGGGCTGCTGTAAGTCTGGGCTCTGAGTGAGTCAGCATTTGTCTCGCACACTGCCATCCGAGTTCTTTCTTTCTCCCCTATAATGGGACTCCTAAGGGGGCGTGGCTTCCCCTGTGGATTAGTTGTTCTGGACTGGCATAGCTCTTACACTTCAGCGGCATCTTAACCAGGGCTGTCCAACCTTTTGGCGTTTCTGGGCCACGTGGAAGAAGAGTTATCTTGGGCCACACATTAAATACATCGTGACATGCAATTGCAAAAAAAAGTCTCGTCGAGTTTTAAGTAAATTTACGATTTTGTGTTGGGCCACATTTACAGCCATCCTGGGCCACATGTGGCCTGTGGGCCACAGGTTGGACACCCCTGCCTTAAACTGTTAGTCTTTGGACATGAAAATAAAAGCCATCAATTCATTCAAACTATAAGTGTGGTGTGAATTCCAGGCCAGGCAGCTGAGTGTTAACCAGCAGGCCACCTTGCAGGCCCGCATGGTGAAGACCCACCCGGCCGGCTCTGTGCTCAGACCGCAGCCAGGAATGGCTGGCTCTAGGCTCAGGATGGTCTGGACTGGGGCACTGCAGAGGGACCCAGGGGAGCAGTCCGCAGGGCGCCCTAAGAAACAAGCAAGCATACATACCCTTCCCGGTGGGCCTCTCCTTTCTCCAGCTCTTGAATGACCCCCAAGAGCACTTTGATGGTCTCTTGGCTGGAGCTGATCAAGTTCTCCATCACCTGAAGCTGTGCTTTGAGGTCCACCACTTCCGTACGAGGCACAATTTGTTGGCATTCTTCACCCACAGCGACCGCTGTCGGACAAGGCTGGTGCTCCGGCCCCGCTGGGGCCATAGTCAGCAGGGGCTGGTCACTACGTGTGGGGGACAGGCACTGTGTTGGGGGCGCCTGCAACCCGTTGGGGTGGGCGGCCCTGCTCTGCTCCTCGGTGGCCGCTGGGCCCAGGGACCACGCACTCCCGGTGGCAGAGTTTGACAAGGCGGGCTCACGGGCCTTTGTGCCAGGGGCAGGAGTGTAAACGGTGGCCACCTCCGTTTTAAACACCCGGCCATGGGCTGAGGGAGCGGGTTCCTCCGTGTCCGGCGTGTCCCTGTCCTGTTTTGCCGCCCCGTGCGGCTGGTAGTCGGGCTCTCGGGGAGGCGGCCGGGGGGCATTGTGGAGCGGTGCGTCTGGGCAGCTGCGCACGCCAGTGTTCCTGCACGGCTGTACACAGTTGACCCCGGCGGGTCGCTCCAGCGTGTCCATGTGCTCATGGGAGTGGAACACCAGCGCCGTTGTCGTCTGCACCCGGCCTGCAGCCCACGGCCGGCCCTCCTCTCCAAGCCCCCCCTCGCCCTTGTCTTTCACATCTATGACAAACCCGTTGTTCTGACTCTTAAAGGCCTCCGAGGTGGGGACGCTTCTGACGGTCCCCTTTTTGCGGTCTAGAGGGAAAGTCTGGTAACACTTTTTAAGGTCTGGCGAGGTCTGCACGCCTGTGCTCTTGGTGACGTTGGGGATGGACCTGCGCGCTGGCACCGTCATGTACTTGCGGTAGGCTGCCCGGTGGGGCACGGGCCGGGCCTCCCGCCTCTCGGCCCCCGGCCCTGCAGGCAGCTGCGCGTCCCGCTGCTCGCTCTGCGCCTCGCAGATATCCTTAAACCGGACCTGTAGGGCTTTGTTCCGCTTTTTGATCTGCCGGTTGGGCTCCAGGGCGTACTTCATCTCCAGGGCCAGGCAGGCGGCGGGTTCCACGTCGCTCTCGGACGTCGCGAGCGCGCATTCGCCGGCGTCCTTACTGACCATGGTTCCTGCATGGGGACACATTGATAGAGGTGTCAGGGCGGTAGGCGCGCATACACACATGCACACACACACACACCCGGCAGCCCCGGCCCACGGGAGCCTGAGTGGCGCCTGCCCGCTTCCTAGTTATCTTTACACAGGTGAGGTGGTCTCCACGTGGGGGGACTCAGGCGGAGTGTTGCTGGCAGGCACAGCCGGAAACCCTTCTCCGACATGAAAGCCCCGCATCCTGTCCACGTGGGACGCACTCGGTTTCAGTTTGATCGTCAGGCATGTTCCCCGCCAGACAAACCTGTGTTACTACTACAGTCATCAAGACGCCCAGCGAGGCCGCCTCCTCAGCTTGCAAACGATCGTTTCACACACACGTCTCCGCTTCCCGGGCAGATGGTTTTCCGAGAGCGATTTATTTGGTTTGGGTTTTTACTATTTTTTGAGGATGACGTGATTAATCTGTAATTGGAATGCGAGAGAATTGCTGTTTCCTCTTAAAGAGTTCTGGGAGAGTCCAGCCCCTGGTCAGCTGAGCGCAGAGCACCCTACGTCGGGGAACCAAAATGACCTGGGCTAGGTGAGCTGCTCCGGACGCCGCGGGACAGCGGGCCAGGCCACTGCACGGGGAAGCCATGGAGGACACCTTGTTGAGGAACGGCGTGCACCCGGTAGGCAGACGCCGACCACGAGAAGGACACGGGTTTCCCTGCATCTGCAGAGGCAGAGTCAGCGCCCCTTCCGCCGATTCCACTAAGAGTGCTGCTTCAAAAGTACTTCTTTAAAAAACTATTCACTCTGGAATCAAGTGTTGTGTTTTGATCACCACCTCTGGGAATGGAGACAGTGGTGGTGGTTTCAGAATCTGAATCCTGGAAGAAAATAAAATCACGGGGCTTTATGTTTGTTCATCAGGCAGATTCATCTTGGGCGGAATTATTAAGTGCGACTAGAAAGAAGCAGGTGGCCCAGGGCTCCTCTTGGGGACAGTGGCGGGGTAAATGCTGTCACTCTGTTGGGCAAACTCCCAGCTGTGTGTGGCCCGTGGAAGAATTTTCTTGGGGGGTTGAGCACAGCGAGAAACAGAAGTGTATAGTTGTTGAGTTAGCATGCACTCTTCCGCCCTACGTGTCACAAAAGAAAACAGAGGGGAGGAGTCTGGGGAGTGTGGGTTCCCAGCATCAGAACTCCGTGCGCCTCTGGGCACTGTCACTGACCCGAGCCACCCACCGAGAGGGAGCCAAGCCAGGCTGGGGGGGTGGAGCCTGCCCGGCTGCCAACTGCCTGCCCTGCCCTGCAGCATCCGGAGGACCCAGCCCACAGATGTCTCACGGCACTTCTTGGAAGTGCCACGGGAATGGGAACACCTGTGGCTGCCACTCCAGGTGGGTGTATGAACCACCAGGTGCTTGGGTCCATCCATGAAAGCTGTCCCTAACACCTTCAGTGCCACGTGACCCGTGCCCAGGAGGAAGCAGGTTCAGAGAGGTTGTGTCACTTGTTGACACCACACAGTAAGGAAGACATACAGGCAGGTGTTTGTCACACAGAGAGGTGGGATGCATGCTTAGTTCCTTCTGTGACAGGACTGCCGGCCAACAGGAATGGTGGTGTGGCCCAGGGAAGCGAGGGGGGGCCCAGAGCCCAGGTCCAAGAGTGCACTGTTGGGCAGTCCCCCTGCAGGCCAGGGTGCCATTGCATTGACCTCAGCCCCTCAGGCCAGCATGTGGCAGAACCTCACCAGCGCTCCCAAGCAGAAGGTACAGAGAAAGCCCAAGTACGGCATCGCTGCGTGCAATGAGCTGGCCCTCCCCTTAGGGGACATCACAGTCGTCTGTGCAGAGTCTGGCTTAGATTAAACCGGGGCTTCTCGGCCTGGGCACACCTGGCACTTCAGGCTGGGTGTAGCTCTGTGGTGGGGGCTCTCCTGGGTGGTGGGGGACATGTACCAGTGTTCTGGCTTCTGCTTACGAGGTCCGAGGAGCCCCCATCCCCAGTATGACAGCTGGAAGGGCCTCCAGATGTTGCCATGTGACCCTGGGGCATAGCCACCTGCCACCAAGAACCTCCACATTAGACATTTTCCCCTCGGGTGGCCCGTGTGCAACCCGAATGGGGAGGCTCGGGAAAAAGCAAAGTGAAGGACCAGGAACAGACGGCAGGTGCCCACCTCCCAGGGGGCAGAGGGGTCCTGAAGGGGCCTGTTCTGAACCCTTGTCTGGAAAAGCCCCCACTCTGGGCCGAGCCAGCAGCGGGCACTTGCTCACCCCTCACCCCAAAGCCGCTGTGTGTCAGCTGACAAAACAGTGACTCCCAAACAGCCACGGCACGGGGGCCGTCAGCAGAAGCCAGCAGATAAGACTTCTTTGGTCTTCGATGCATCACTGGACGCTGAGGGTACTTGGGACCCTTGCACTCTGAAACGCCAAAATACTGAGCAGTTGTTCAGAGAAACGCCAGGAAATAGCACAGACGGTGCCCTGGCCCCGCTCGGGGAGGACTAGGTCGCGAGCCCTGGCTCCCCCACCACGGCCTCCGTCACCCAGGTGTGTCTGCACACGTGCCCCCTTGCCGCCGAGGACCCTCACGTGAGGGGGAATTGGGAGGCGAGGGCATCGTTACAAAAAGCAATTTACCGGTAATTTTTCAGCCTTTTCCCTGCCGCTGTTGAAAAATGTGTGTCTGAATAAGTTTGTTCTACGATGCTATTCATCATCACGCTTTGCCAGGAACTGCGCCGAAATAATTTTCTTATATCAGTGTGCTGGTTTGAAAGACATTCTGAGTGTTGGACTCAACCATCGAACTAGTAAAATAAATTTAAAAAATTAATTGCCAGTGGCAAAAGAATAATAAAAAAATATCCTAAGCACCTCTGTGTTTTACAGGGAGTTGCCAATTATATAAAAATCGTTTCCTTGTAAGTAAAAGCAGCGGTGGTAAAGAGGAATTCCTAAAAGTTCAGGTGGTGGTGGCTGGAGCTTTTCATTCAGTGACAGTGACCGAGTTTGTCCTCCCTGGATGGGTAGGGAAGACGCCAAGGAGTTTCTGCAGTGGACTTACTGAGACCCCAGATAAGGCTGAGTTCCTTTGGATGGCCGGATGGCATCTTCTAAGGCTTTTCCTGGACATTATTAGGACTTCCTGTCACGTTAAGGCAGACACCTGCTCCCCAATAAGAAAGTAGTGACTTCGTCATGAAAGAAAACAGGGCAATCTGTAGGTGAGAGTGCACAAGACCCATGGGACCTTCTGGCACACGCATTCCTACACACGAGTGTCCACCCGTTCCAGGTGAGGCCATCGTTCAGGCCACGTGCTCCGTGTCCAGACCCGAAGCCAGCACCCTCCTCCTCACCCCTTTTCGCCTTCTCCTCCCTCTCACGGCCGCCTCCCGGGGGCATCTTGTTCTTCTCAAGCTGCCGAAAGAGAGCCCGTGATGCAGGAGGTTTCTCTCCACCTGCTTCCCGTGTCCCTTTGAATCCCACGCGTGAAACCACCATCCCTGTCCTGGGAAACATAACCTGCCACGAACCACGATGAACTTCCAAAAGCATCCAACAGCTGGCCGGTCCCCTGGCCCCAGGCCACCCTGTACTGTGTAGGGCGCAGGCTGTGCAGAGGGACACCCTCCGGGTGGGCCCCAGCCACACGCCGGGCTGGGAGCACAGGCTTGGTGTGGCCTCCTCAGACCGCCCGTGAAGCCGGCGTGGCATCACCCGCCACAGCGTGCCTTGGCGGGGCTGCCCCACAGAGTGTGGGCTCTGGTTCCCGAAGCTAATCTCATGGCTTTAAAGCAGCAGGAGCCTGGGAAGCTTATGTTTCTTACAAAAGTTGTGTTTTAGAGCCCACTGGACTGGGTTTTTCCGAGTTGGGAGTGGCCTGCCGTGGCTGTGCCTTTCTGCCCCAGGGAGCGCGGGGTGGCGAGGAGCTGCTTGGAACGCAGATGTCTTAGTCTCCCTGGAATTAAGTTGCACGATCAGATGGGAGTTGTAAATGTATAAATCCTGCACTTGCAGACTCGTGATGGAGAGTCCTCTCCGCCTGCCCCTTTAAACTGACAGCGCGCACAACGAACGTGTCTGTCCCAGCTGTGCCCGGTGGTCTGGAGAGGCGGCCGCACGCCCGACAGTGGGTCGGTGGCTCGTGAGCTGTGCGTCCACTGGTATGACAATCGAGTGGTAGTCGTGGGGAGTGTTTAGCGTCACAGGAAAACCACTGACAAAAACAGCGTTAAGTGAGAGAGAGCAGTCTGCCGCATTCCACCGGAAGACAGTGAGCGGACAGGGTCCTAACCGGCTCAGGTGGCCGCTCCGGTTCCCGGAAGGGGGACTCGCAGGGGTGCTGCGTTGTCTGCCAGCCACAAAGCCACGGGCAGAGTCTGTCCACACCCGAGGCAGAATGGCAGGGCCAGGCCTCCAGGGAACGGGAACACGTGCATCAGAATAAGAAAACCCCGAAATCACTGGATTTGGGTAGAAATGGTCCCCCAAGGTCATCCTTTATTATTTCAAGGAAGCCTTGATTATGTTGGAATGCATTAGAAAGAAATGAATTTCAGAGTATTGATTGACTGTGTGTGTGTGTGTGTGTGTGTGTGTGTGTGTGCCCGTGTATACAAGTGTGTTCATCTGTGCTTATGCACACGTATACAGGTGGGTGTGCATGGGCTGGGCGAGCCAGTGAGCGTTCAGTGGAAGACATACATCCGCTGTTGGGATGAGACGTCTGTGTGTCTTCATTAGAAACTGGATGGACTCGACCTGTCGCCTGTGTGGGTGGTCTGAAGGAAATGCCGTGGGTGTCTCAGCGGACGAGGGAACTCCGTGGGTCGGCTCTGTCGTTCCTATTCTGGCACGGGTGGACAGAGAGGGGCCAGCACAGCCCGGGGCTGGGGTCCACGGGGCAGACTGCAGGCGCCCGGCGGTGGGGGCTGGCGAGTGGCACCGCCTCGCCACACCGCCCCAAGTCCCATCCCTGCGTGGAGAGAAGCTGGGCCAGCCATCGGATGAGT